TGATCAAATGTGCTTCATAAAGCAATAGTGAGGGGGGGGGGGGGGAGAGGGAAGATGGTGCTCGATGTGGGATTTGGGTTGGAAACCCCGACCACCCTTGCAGTGCTTTGCCTAGGGACCCGGAAACTGCTGCCCTCACTTCTGCTCCCCAGGCAAGACATACACGCACTCACACACTCACACACTCACACACACACTCCCCCGCAGGATGCCAAGCGGGCCATCGAGATCGCCAAGACCATCGCGGAGGGGGGCGCGGCCACCGGCGAGAAGGGGGAGGGCGAACATGGGCACACAAGTGTGATCCAGCACGCCGCCGAGCACCACGGCAACACCACTGCGCCGGTGGCGAAGCGCGTGCCCTCCCCGTCCACTCCAGAGAAGATGCAAGGCTGAAAAGCCGCTTTCACCATGAGCGCATGTAGCACCCCGCAGGGGCGGACAGTCTGAAGAAGGCGTCACTCTGTTACCATTGACCTGTCATCAGTTCTGGAGTCTTTACTGGCATTCATTGGAGTGATTTGGCATTGTCGGTCCCAACATCTTGGGAGATTTGGCACAGAATCAGATACGAAAGGGGGGGCACAGACCTTTAGTTCCCCGGTTGCATTCGAAGTGCTCGGCACAGCTAGGTTCGAAAATCTCTTGTGTCTTTCGAAACGTGGTCCTTTGCCTGTAGCAATTCAACTCCCAACAACACACGCAAATCTACAAGATGGCCAACCATTTGAAGCTTTCCAGCTTCTACGGGTCCAATATCGCCCGGCCGTACATTGTGTTCGACCCACAGGGTGCAGAGGTCTCGGCACGGGTCGACCGACCCCGTGTCAACGACGCCCTTATCGGTGAGCTGCCAGTATTTGGGCAGCTTCATGGCTATGGTATGGGAAAGGATAGTGCATGAGGAAGGCTCGGCCTCGTGGAGCAAACATCATGCCCGCTAACCCCTCCCGCCCCTCCTGCTCACCAGCCTGGGGGAGCAAGGTTCCGGTCAGTGCCGGGGGCCTCCTTGAGAAACCCCGCTGGGAGGGAGAGGAGCCTCCAACCCTGGTCAAGCCCTTGAATGACTTCCAGCTCTTCATCAAGGTGCACTCGGTGGTGGGGATGAGGATTGGGCTTCAGCCTTGTGGCACTGGCATGGATGAGTGCCTGGAGGGGGAAGAGGAGCTCGTGCGGCACCTTGACCCCCAGCTTTGCACCGCTCCTCAGGAGAAGAGGTTGGACATCCTGGCTGTAAATTCCCATCTGATGGTCGAGCCAGACCAGCCGGCCTTCATGGCAAGCGCAGCCGTTTTTTGGAAAGAGCGGCTGAATGAGGAGGAGCGCCAGGCTTACCAGACCCGTGCCCGAGGTGTGTGAGTCTTGGGTGCACCCTGCTGGCTCCTGTCTTGGTCAAGCATGCCCCCAGCATGGCCCCCGTGCTGCCGCCGCTCGACAGAGATGCGGGCGCAGTACAAGACTGACCTGGCAGCTCTGGAGCAGAGTAATCCTCGATACAAGACTTTCAGAGAGCACTTGAAGGTGGGTGTGGTACAGAGGTGTGTCCTGAAGGCTGCTCTTGGGTTGTGGGGTAGGGCCAGCAATATCCAGATCTGTTTGTCTTGCTCCACATTTGAGGAGTGCCTTGACTGGTCTCCTACATGCATGCATTCAGCGTTCTGTTCTCACAACCGGCTCGGCTTTCGCTGACAACCTCTGCATGCCCACCCCCGAACTCACAACCGCAGCGCTACAAGCAGTCTGTGTCCGGCATCGTCAGCGCGGCGAGGGAGCAGGCAGGCCCGCTGTGGAAGGTGCAACGCCGGCTGATGGGCAAGGGGAGGTACTCCAAGATGGGGGAACCGGCGGCGAGGTGGGCGTCGCCGGCGCGGGTGAACAGGCGCGCCGGCACCGACGGGCCCCCAGCCAGCACGACGCGCTCCGCCTCCCCTAGCACCGACTCCGACTCCGACTCTGACTCCGACGGCAAAAGCGAGCTTGAGGCCTCGATCCCCGCCACAAACGCGGCACGCCCTCGCTGTGCCACCCGCGCTCCCGACGGCGGGCAGGCCTGTGCGCCCAGGCACGGGGTGCACCTGCTGCACCAGGACGTCCTTCCCTCCCCCGCCGCCGCTGCACGGGCAAGGAACCGGGGCCGCAGCGCGCCGAGCGTGGCGCCCGCCCCCACCGGGCGGGCCTTGGCCCCAGCGCGACCGCGAGGAGAGCAGGGGAGGGAAGGGAGGAGCGCCACACCCCCGGGCATGTGGCGAGGGCTGCACGACGAGCCCTCCCAGTCTGAGGAAGGGGAGCCCTCCCAGGCCGTGCCTGGTGAGGCGGTGGTGTGTTTGGCTCCTGCATGACCAGCAGGAGCAGGGGCTGGCCGTGCGAGGACCTCCCTGCTTTCCTCTGTCATGGGGATGGGAAGGGGCAGGGGCATGGTTGGTCGTTGTGCGGTTCCTGGAGGTCCCCCGAGGCGGTGCCCTGGCTGGTCACCAGTCCCTCGCCCCAGCAAGATCCCCAGCCACTACGCGCGCAGAAACTCCGGGGGCGACGCAGGATCCCACCTCCCGGCCCCTGCCCCGACGGGGAGCGAGGGAGTCCCAGCAGCAGGCAGACCCGGCGGCGGCCCTCAACCTGCAGGACCTCGACCTTGCCTCGCCCGCCAAGCGCTCGCGCCGTGTCCGTCCCTGAGGGAGAATGGATTCAGAGCTCCATCCTTGCCTGCAGCCAGCCCCTGCATCGGTCCCGGATGACGTTTGCTGGGACGGTATGCTTCACCAAGACTGGCCCACTGACTCACCTTGTGCATTGAGCAATCAGCCTGTCCGAGCACCACTTTTCTGGCCCTCACTTGAATCATAACATGTTGACAATCAAGTAAAGACAACAAAACCTGACGAAAGCTGGCAGGTACTATGGGAAAGAATGAAAGTCTACAGTCAAGTCTCCAGTAGTGCAGATGTCTGAGCCGATCTGCCAGCTTAGTCAGGCCCCTCCCTCCGCTATTGCTGCTGCTGCTGCTGCTGGAATCGCTTCACAGCTGCTGCCATGGTATCCTAGGAATGGATTTGCAAGGTTTGCATGATGTCAGAGGATCAAGGTTGTGTACCCCAGCAGTCAACCCAAATGAAGACGATGGGGACATCACAGTCGGCGACCAGTCAGCCCAGCAAGTCCTATACAATACTTGTGCTCACCTCAACATGCATCAGGACCTCCTTTGCGAGGTGCAAAGACTCTACCATCCCTTGTTCTGCGCTGACGACTCCATTGGTCTGACAGCGGATCAGGATCTCAGACAGGTTAGGATGCTCCTTTGTGTAGCTCGACAGCTGTACATGGGGGCTGCAACGGCAGAGAGGATGGAGTGCGTTATGGTGAAAAGCTATGACATCCAGAGGGCCATGTGACATGGTGTGATCTCAAAATGTGAGCCAGGTCAAGATCCCAGGTCTGGCCGATGAGCGGAGCAACACACTTCTTCTGGGCATAGCGAGTCCCACACGACACTGGTGACTCACTGCATCCACATGACCTCTCTGAGGACATTCCCAAAAGTATGGTCTGTGTGTTGTGCAAGAGGGAAGGGGCTGAGGCAACAGTGCTGCTTGCCCAAAGAGGCATGACTGCCCCAATCCGACAGTTATAGCATACTTCCCAGTCCTTCAGCATCCGCTGAAAGTTGTAGTGAGGCCAAACTCACCTTCTCCTTCGAGCTTGACCAGCAGATTATTGCCAGGCTGCAGTGCCTCCGATTCTGTGCCGGTGGGTGCCGGAAGAGCACAGTGACGTTATGGCCGCAGAGGACTAGTCTCAGCAACGCATGCAAGGATTATCCTCCATCGTGCCCACCTGAATCTTCCATTTCTCTGACGAGAAGCTGTGCAGGCGCCTCAAAAGACCTATTCGATGTGCACAGTGGGTGCTGGGGCTCGACTGCGGTCCTCGACAAGGGTCTCGGGCAGTTGTGTGTTGTGGCCAAAGCCTTGAGCTCCACAACAAATACAATTTAGGTGATATGCGCAGATCGTGTTATCGCTCATGCGTTCACCTTCACGCATTTGCAGAGCTCGAAGACGACGCGCGAGCGCGCGAGCGCTTCCGGCAGTGCAGCACCCCCCCATCTCACAGGCGCATGTCCCTGTGAAAAAGAATGCCAACCAGATCCACCAACTCGATAAAAATCATTACAATGGCCTCAGAGCACCAGGTTACAGAGCCTCCGCAATTGTCCAGAGGGTATGCATGTGCAGGAAGAAGCTCCCACACAACACCCCCCCCCCCCGCCTCAGCCCGCCTGCCGTGCCTCCCAGGCTGTCATGGCGGAGCCCATGCCCTCGCCCACCACCCCCACCAGGTCCTTGAGCAGCTCCAGGCTCTGCGCCAGCCCCTGCTCCCCGCTCACCCCCGCCCCCGCCCGTGTCTGGACCCGCAGGTTGACATGGTTGTACCCTGGGTGCTCCTGACTGTACCCCGCCGCCTCCACCGCAGGGTGCGCCCAGGCCACGTCCCGGAAGGCATTGCCCAGCGTGTGGCTCTCGCCATCGATCACCGCCGCCACGGTCCGAGGCCCGGCCACAATGGGCTTACGGCGCGCGATGCCGGAGACGCCGCGGCGGTAGGGGTCAGAGACCCTGCCCTGGGCCACCCCAGCCAGCCAGAACCTGCCGTCGGGGCGGTCAGTGCGGTCCGGCAGCTCGCTCGCCTGGACCCGGGCGAAGGAGGGCTGGAACCGGCCGTGCATGGTGGCGGGGCCGGATGTCTGGGCGGGCAGGTACTCGGCGCGGTGGCCGTAGATGCTGGCGGACTGGCGAGGGGCTGCGCCGCCCCTCAGGCCCACGCGCTCCGCCCTGTGTGTGGTTTTTGGAGGGGGGGGGGGGGTGCAGGTGAAGATCCTTGGTCGCGGGCTCAAGAGCGCCCAAGAGTTGGCAGCACGCTGGCTCTGACAATGCGCTGTGCCCTGCACAGCCTGGAGGACCTCAATCTACAAGCGCTCGAGCACGTCAGAGAGGGTTCCCACCAGAGGGGCAGCTCCGCGCGCTCGTGGAGGGGCTTGTCCTCCCGAGTGGCGTCAGGGGGCCCGTCCAGCTCGGGGAAGTGGTACTGCAGAGGGGAAAAGGGGAAAGGGGGTGGGTGCAGGGCTCGCGGGTGAAGCGGCGTGGGAGCACTGGTGGGGTGATGTTCGCATTGCAGAGTCAGAGTGGTGCAGGCATGGCGAGCAGATCGTCAACTCCCGCTGGCCACACAACACTTGGGGGATCCAGACTCTCCACATGCATGTCAAAGCAAGTGCTGCCCCTCCCAGAGAGCCCTCTCCCCGGGTCCCTTGCCTCGCCAACACCTCGGGTCCCCTCCTTCCCCTGCTCTCCTCCACCAACTCACTCCATCAGAGAGCCACAGGGGCTGCTGCCCACTCGACCGCCCCACCGATTTGTACCACCAGCTGTCGGTGTCGGTGTGCCAGTTGGGGTGTCTGGACTGGAAGTCCAGCTGGTTGGCTAGGGTGGTTCCATACTTGGCCATCCACTTCTCCTCCGTCATTTGCCGCAGGTCCGCCTGCAGAGAAACACCCAAAGAGCATGAGTGATGTAATGCAGGCACCTCCACTCACTCGCACCTCGATGCAGGGGCCAGGACGCGGCCAGTCGCGGACCTTGGCACCCTTTCCCAGCCCTCCACTCACCGGGGCCTCTGAAGGCAGAATCGCATCCGAACCAGCATCATCCACCTTCATTGCTACCGCAGGGTCAATACCTGGACCTCTGCTCATTCTTTATCGTGTTGCGAGCTCAGCGAGTGACGCCGCGCCTCCAGCCCTGGAGGTGGCTCTGGCAGACCTACACCTTCCGTCACTCCCAAAATCACGCCAGCAAGCTCACATGTATCATATTTATGTCGCAAGAGGGGTATTTTGGAAGGTTTACAATTTACAAATGGGGCATTCAGCTCGTAGTATCGCGAGAAGGTCGTGCTCCCACATTCAGCGCGCCAGCCACCCCCGCTCCGCGCCCTGGAGTTGTGCCCGGGGCGTGTCTGCATCGATCCAAAGTCGCTCGCCTTTGAAAGGTTGCACGGCTACGGTTGTCCACAGCGGCATACAACCAGAACCTTTCCCTAAAACTGCAGCATGAGGACCCCAACTGTGGGTTAGATCGTACCCAAACACAGCAGCAGAAGGGGCCAACTGTGTGCATTGATCCTGAGCCATCGAGGCAGTCACCGGTATCTATCCAATTCCACGGCTAGCATCGCTCATTTTCACTGTTCTCCTGTGATCCAGTCCCCTCCGCTGGGCGGCTAGAGGGCGCGACGGTGCCACCTGTCCTACACCCTGCTGACCGCTTGGCCTGCCCACCAACTCCTGCCCTGCTGGTGACCCTTTCCGATGTGTCCTGACAGAGTCCTTCCATTTGACCTGTCTGTGTATCTAAAAATGTTTGCCGCAGTGGCGTGAACGCGATCCTTGCACTTTGAAGTCCCTCTCCACTCCATGCAAACACCTGGCCACCGTGAGGGTCAGGAGAGGATGCAGTGCCTGGCCTCTCATTCAACCAGCAAGAGGTGCCAGGCAATGCAGGGACTCAAGCCCACCTTCCCGGCGCTCGCTAAGAGTTGCCAGCCTGGCAACAGCATGGGACAGGGATGCGAGCGGCCACGGTGCTTGTTCCGTGATGGCGCTGGAGGAATCGAGGCCCTGGTCCGACAGAGAAAGATCCCGTCCCAAAGCCCAGCAACTGTGCACAGCCCTGCTGAGCTTTCTCCACCCCAGTCTGGCATGTAGGGGGGAGCGCATATGGCTAATTCTTGTCACGGCTCGTCGGAACAGGGGTGTTTGCGTGGCCGTGCAGGATACGTATCGCAGGCTCTCAACAGTAATTCGAGGTGACCGCCCCAGCGCCTGGCAAACAGTCGGTATGCTGTGCTCTCTTGCACCCACAGCCCATCCATATTGAGGAGCACGCTGCAGCGTATGACCCCTCTGTTGTGCCCTGCATGAAGATAGCCAGTATTCAACAGGTCCTGAAAGCTTGCCTCATGGAATCTCAGAGGTGGGTGCAAAAATCAGGCCAGTCATGGGTGTGGTCAGGTTGTTGGTCAAGCAACATGAGATTCGTTGTGGTCCAATTCGAGAAAACCAGTTGCGCGATAAGGAGTGAGAAATGGCTGGGAGCAGGGGGGCAGCCGGTGCTCGAGGCACTACCGAGAGGAAGTTCAGTACAGGCTGTGAGAGGGAGCTCAGGCATGGGCGAGGATATGTGGGGATGAGGACGGGAAGTCAAGGAGCCTGGCGCTGGGCATCGGCAGCAGGGAGGGGCATGGAGGCCCAGACCGCGCAGCGGCCCAATAGCCGCCGGCCCCGCCCTGGAGGCAGGCTGGGGAAGGAGTCCGGCTGGCGGCGCTTGGGCTGGGGGAGAGGAGGCCGGCCTGGAGAGGGTTCAGCGGGTAGATCGCGAGGACAGGCGCAGGCGCAGGGAACGGCCAGCCGGGTAGTGGGACGGAGCGTCTGGCGCGAGGGACGGCGGTGGTCGCGCGGCCCCACACGACGGTGGTGTGGCGCTTGTCGCCGCCCAGCAGCACAGCGCGCTCGTTGGTGAAGTGGCGCTCGGCCAGCGCCTGCCGCTTGGTAGCAGCGTTGAAGCATCTGGCGGTGGGGTGGGGTCCGGCCGTGCCGGGCGCTGCAGGCTCGGAAAGGAGGGTGCACCGTGCGGCGATGAAGTCGGCCGCTGCGGGGACGTCGGCGGCGACGGGGACAGGGGCACGCGGGGTGGTGATCGAAGCGGCGACCTTGGGAGAGGCGGCGACAGAGGGGCAGGGGGCGACGCCGCCATCAGGCGCGTGCACCGCCGTGATGCGCCTGGCGTCGACGCCAGCGCCGGACGCCGCGGCGTCCTCAGCGACGGCGACGGCGCGCTCCTCCCACGCCTTCCAGGCGGCCCCCAGCTTCGCCCCCAACGAGAACTCTCGCTCTACACCGGCGGCCTCCGCCTCCTGGAGCGTCGCCATGTCTGCCTCCTCCAGCCTCTCCGCCACCAGCGCCTCATCTGCCGCCATACGGTCAGCCATGAAGAAGGCAGGGAGGAGCAGGTCGCCGTCGTCCAAGTGGAAGCTCTCGGCGGCCTCCTCGGCCTCCTCGACCAGGTCGTAGGCCAGTGCCTGCAGGCGGTCCACCTCCGCCTGGGCCAGCTTGGCCTTCTCCTGCATGGCCAGCGCGGCCGCCTCGGAGTCCAGCGCCGCCTTCCGCTGTTCGGGGCTGGCCTGGCGGAGGGAGCGCTCCAGGTCGGCCAGACGGCGGATCACGTCGGCCACGACGGGGCGGTCTGCGGGGTCGGGGCGCAGGCAGTCGATCACCAGGCGGCGCAGGCCGGGAGCCAGGAGGCCGAAGCGGGACAGCCTGGGGTGGAACGTGCCAGCGTCGATGGCTGTATTTTGTGGTGTGGGGGAGGGGGGTCCGCGCGCTAAGCGGGTGCGGGAGGAGTGGCCGAGGAGGGCCGGGGGATGGATCTGGGCTTGTCGGCCATTATAGGTGGAGGTGGGGGGCAAAGCTTTAGGGGGAGCCTGGCAAAGCAACCGGCACCCAGACATGGCACACCAACACATGGGACCCTCTTTCATTCCTAAACCTAAGCGCACCCATCTCGAAGCAGGTCTGGGTCCAGCCGCTCTTTATGTGTGGGCCCTGCAGCTCCAGCAGCATGCAGCCAAAGGCGTACACGTCGCCAGCCCGGGGATTGCGCGCCAGGGTGCACATGTCCTCGGGGCCGGTGTGGCTGAGGGTGCGCCTGTGTGCGATTTTGTGGGGGAGACGGGGGTTGGGGAACGGGTCAGGCTGGGCGAGGGGCCTCACGCGTCATCATCCCCAGCCACTCACACCCACTCTGAGCTCATCGATACACCCCCCTCCCCAAGAGACAACCCCAACTGTGCGCCGTCACAAACATGCATCCAGGCCAGGCGCTGGACGTCTGGGGCAGGCCGCCGTCCGGCTCCAGCTTGGCCACGCCGTCGATTCGCCCGCCACTCCCTCCACATTCACCGCCGCCCTCCTCTCCCGTATTACATGATTGCTCGAATGCGCCTGTGGTGGCCGCAGGGCTATGCGGTTCAGTCCTATACCCGCACATCTGCACCAAAAAGGGCGTCCCCACAGCCGTCTGCATCACAACTCCAATAGGTGTCTCAGTGTGCGCAGGGGACTTTAGAGTGTCGTCCGCTGGCACATGCGCTGGTTCCTATCATCCCATCCTGCTCATTTGCTTTGAGAAGTCATTTACAACCACGACATACTGGGCTATGTGCCACCAACCCCCCAGCCCTCCACCATCTCCTCCACCATCCCCCCCACCGCTGTCTCCTCCTCCCAGCCCTCCCCCATCCCAGTCGTTGAATGCTCGAGTGCGCCTGTGGTGACTCAAGGGGAATGTGGTGCGGGGCTTTACCCAAACATATGCTGGCAGCCACAGCGCACTGGGCTGCAACAGTAATGCCTGCGTCTGCTGCTGTGCTCGTGTCCAAAGAGCCTGGAGTGCGCCTGACGCACCCTGCCTCGGCCTGCGTTACGAATAGGGAACAAAGCGTGTGACATCTATGAAGGAAACATGCCAGCGGATACTTGTGGACCTGTATGTTTGCAACCCCTGTTAAATAGAGCAAGGAGTACCCTTTGAACTCACCGTGGTCTTGGAGCTGTCACTGGTAAAGGAGCCAGTGACACGAGCCTCGGCAAGTCCTGGACGGGAGATGGTGGTGGACGCCTGCGCAAGGGAGCTTGCAAACCTTCCCAAGTCACTGTAGCTTCCTACGAAGCCTCCTGTGGATGACGCAGGCAGGAACCCATCACTCGAGCCCTGCTCGGTAGGGTGAACATGGAGGGCATTCAAAAGTCGCTGCAAGTGGGCAGCATGCCTTGGAAATGAGGTGTTTAATCGCCCCGGCAACCCCACAGCTCCTCCACTGTACCTGCCCGATGCAGGACCCTTTCACGGAAGAGACGTCGAGAAAGCTGGTCGCCTGAACAGTCGACGCAGCCCGTGCTCTAATGCCCGAAGCCGATCCGGACGCCACCCCTGAGGCGGAGGCCAGGGTCCTGTGGATTGGTTACAGGAAACCCTCTGATGGAAGATTTGCTTTGGGGATGGAGGTCAGAGTATCCGGACGGTTTCCTCGGAATGATCTTGCGGCACAAAATGCTCAGTGTGTGATTGAGGTAATGCTTGTGGAGTTTTTCGACTCTTAAACACATTGCCTCCGCCGAGGAAAGAAGTGCAAGTGCAAGACCGACTACGGTGACCCATGCGCCGTTGCGCAGCAGGACATGCATGCTCGCAAGATGCCGACACCAGACACTCTGCAGAGACCCAAACACGGAACACAAAACTCCTCTGTAACAGCCCCTTTACAACTCTATCATCTGTTCAAGGTCCGGTGAGCCCAATATCTATAGTCGGCGGCCTTTGTAGTATCCTTCATCCGGACGGGAAGCTTCGAGCTGGTTGTCGATTCGGCCAAGAGAGCTGCCCACGATCATACTTGTGAGGGGATGGGATATCATTCCGTACCAGAACACCCATGGAACAAGTTAGACTTGCTTCAGTCGCGCCTAGCGCATGGAGTGTAGGCATGTTCGGCACGGTTTGAGCAAGGGTGCGGGCCGGAGGAGACTCGCTTGTCGATGCCTGCTCTTGAGTGACAATCACAGCGGTTTGTGTGCGCCTGATACATCAGAATCAGTGACCGGAGCTCCCAGGAACATAAGGCAGCTGCAAGGCTGATCGCGTGTATTATAATGAACACCAAATAATACTAGCAGGGATTCCGTTATTCGCAAGGCGCTCGAGGCAGGGAGGCCTGGTATTTTACCATGAAAAGATGGGGAGGCCCATAGTAGTGAACTTGGAAGGAATCCAACATGACGGCACCAAAGATTGCCCTGAGAGTAAAGCTGAGGATCCATTACAGTGTGCCCGGACTTCAAGACTTAGGGGACCTAGGCAAATCAATCCATGCTGGAACGTTGGTAGTTGGCAGACTTTCACTGGATCAAGAATGTGAAAGGAAAGGTGCAGAGGATACGGTACCCCTTCGCCAATCATGTTCATGTTAGGCTTTCAAGAGCCTGAAGTGTAACTTGTCTTCGCCTGGCTCAGAGTTGTGGCTGGGCATGAGTGTCAGTAGCCGAAGAAGTCTTCCATGAACTACAAAGTCAACCACCCTAGTCTACAAGGTTACCTCAGTATCCCTATCGAATGTCTCATCAAGTTTGCCATTCGCAAAGGGATGTCTTGACGCCTTATAGTTGGGGATGGCATGAGAAACAACGGGCAATCTGGGCAGATGGCGGATCCCAAAAGCCGGCCCCGCGCGCTGCGGGTGGGATCCACCCCCCCTTAGGCCAGATGCCATGCAGCCCAGACCAAATGACAATCACCAAGGTGCAAAATCACCTTGTGAGGGTTTCTCTCACTCTAAGCGTGCTTCGTACCTGCCACGGGGCCCACTACCTCCAGGATTAAGGCCCACTGAGCTCCTCAGGCCGGCCAGGCTCCCCGTTCATCTGGTGGGGTCAAGCCAGTCTCAACCCTGCTCCTTAGCGACCGCAACCCTGCGCCATGACACATAACCTGATCAAGCCCATGTCATGGGAACTCGCAGCATCCTCCTCCCTGGCTTTGTCGCTGTCAGAGATGCGCTTCGTTGTTGCCTTCGTCCTTTATGTGCTGGTGGGAGTCGGCCTGCGGCACGTGCGGTCCACCAAAGGCGAGTGGACGCGAACCTGACCTCTTGCATGGCATGCACTGGTTCTTCAATGTGCCTGCGAGTCGCACGGGGTGCGTGCAGCGGCCCCGTGAACAACAACTCCCTCCCTAGACCCCCGAACAGCTCGGCACTGGTATGCCGTGATCACGGGCTTCCTCCTCATCTACTACCCCTTTGGGACGGGGGTGCTCCACGCCCTCGTCCCATCCTCCCTCATATACCTGGCGATGTGCGCCTTCCCCACCCACTGCGGGACGCTGGCGTGGCTGATCGCCTTCCCCTACCTCATCATGAAGTGCGAGGGGTGGATCAGGGGGGGTCGCCAGATGGTGTCCATCAAGGAGGGCAGGCTGGAGAGGAAGGCTTGCTGGTGCTCGATGGCCGAGAGGATGGCTCGCCAGCCCCGCCACCCCCCCCCTTGTCCCTGCAGCCACGTCTTCCAGGCCAGCGGTCTGTCATGGAAGGAGGGCCAGCTCGACTTCACGGGGGCCCAGATGGTCCTGACCCTCAAGCTCGTTGCCATCGGCGTGTGCTACCAGGACGGCCGCACCCACGCAGACAAGGTGGGCTGGCAGGAGGGCGGCGTCGGGTGCGGCACTCGATGCGTGCCGCTCGGGCCTCCAGACCCTGCCGCCGGTGTGGTGCGCGACCAGGGTGTGCATGGCCTGCGCTGGCCGGCGACTGCGCGGCTCGTTCGGGGGGAAGGTCATCGAGCCTGCGCTGCAAGGGCAAAGGCTCCCCACCCCTTGCATGGGGCGTGGAGGCGCGCCCCATGCTGGAAGCCTCTGGGCCCTCCCACCCCACCCTTTCCCCCCAACGCACCTGCCCCTCGCCACACTCGGCCCCCCCTCACTTGCCCG